CTTTTAAAAACATTTTTCAATAGTCTCGAACAAGTGATGGAAATAGTGAGTAAAAGGGGTAGAAACATAAATAGCCCCTTGGGCAAAGCAAGTATCAAAAACCACCCCTCGGGTATAATATCAACAAAACCAGCCCCTCGGGCTACCTCACAATCACTCGTATCAGCCCCTCGGGCAACAACATGAAACAACAGCAGCCCCGAGGGTAATATCACATCACATACACTGGGTACCCGCGCTCACTGGGGGTGTACAGACTCCGGAGAGGCTCCTACAGCCCAAGCGCTATCACAAGCCATCTCGTGGTATAAATCAGGCCATCGACCTCTCATATATCACAAATCAGTGTAACACGCTGCGGCACGCAGCCCGATCCCATAACATCCTCACAACACAGGCCCTCGGCCTTACTCAGTCAAAACTCACTCAAGCCCCTCGGGCAAACAGTAAAACAAGTACTCGGCTCAAAATATCACTTATAACGTCAAAAGGAGTAAATAAAACCCGAGTTATGAAATCAATGAAAGCATAGCAAAACTGAGTGTAAATATTATTAAAACAGTGAGGAAAAAGTAGTAAAAAGCCCCTAAGGGTCCAAACAGTCGGCACAAGGCCCAAACACGGCATTTAGCCCCAAACATAGTAATATTTTCCAAAACACAATAATATTAAACAGTGTTCAATCAAATATGTGACTTAACAGTCGTACGGGATGGACCAAGTCACAATCCCCAAAGGTGCATGACCCCACGCTCGTCATCTAGCGTGTGCGTCACCTCAAAATAGCACAACAATGTGAAATCCGGGGTTTCATACCCTCAGGACAACGTTTATAATCATTACTTACCTCAATCCGGTCCAAACTCTAGCCCGCGATGCCCTTGCCTCTTGAATCGGCCTCAACACGCGTCGAATCTATCCAAAATTAGAATCATAACATCAAAATAGGCTAAAGGAACAAAACCCACTCGAAAATAACCAATTCACACCAAAAATCCCGAAATTGACCAAACCCGACCCCCGATCCCATGTCTCGAAATCCATTAAAAGTCACATCAATAGAATCCTTACATTCTCACGAGTTCATACATATCAAATATACCAAAATCCGACCACAAACGACCCCTCAAATTCCTAATCAAAGGTCTCCAATTTCAAGCCCTAGTTCTTCAATTTTTAACCCTTAATTTCCATAAATTCCAAGCCTAATCAGTAAGAAAATGCCATAGGATCGAGTTTTAGGTTCAACAATCTTACCTCAACGAAGTTCCCTTGAATTCCCTCTTCAAAATCTCCCAAAAAGCTCCAAAGCTGACTCAAAAATGGTGAAATAAAGCTGAAAATTGCGAAGGAAACCTTTATATAGGTTCTGGCCCAGGCATTCCGCACCTGCGGTCCAATGGTCGCACCTGCAGAAGTCACTTATCCGCTCAAAACCGCATCTGCGGTCAAATATCCGCACCTGCGCCATCGCAGGTGCGCTCAGATCTCCCCTTCTGCGGCTCCTGCCCTTCATCGCCTTGGTCGCATCTGCGGCCTTTGAAACGCATCTGCGGCATCGCACCTGCGGTCCCCAAGCCGCAGGTGCAGAAATAACAGGAGCAGAAAATTCTGCAACTGCTCCAAAAATCCAAACTCCCCCGACAACCATCCAAATCCATCCCGAGGCCCTCGGGACCTCAACCAAACACGCCAACAAGTCACATAACACTATTAAAACTTGTAACAACCCTCGGAACACTCAAAACAACGCCGAAATACCAGATCACCCTCAGATTCAAGCCTATGAATTCCAAAACTTCCAAATTCCGCTTTCGATCAAAAAGTGTACCAAACCTCGTCCGAATGACCTGAAATTTTGCACACACGACCCAAATGACACAACGGACCTACTATAATTTCTGGAATTCCATTCCGACCCCTATATCAAAATCTTCGTTACCAACCGAAAAGCGCCAAAATTCTAATTTCGCTAATTCCAGCCTAAATCTACCTCGGACCTCCAAAACATATTCCAATCACGCTCCTAAGTCTCAAATCAACTCCCCAAGCTATCTGAATCATAAAAACCAAATTCCGAGATCGTTTTCTCACAAGTCAACTTCCGGTTGACTTTTCCAACTAAAAGGCCAACTTAAGAGACTAAGTGTCTCATTACTCTACCAAACCATTCCAAACCAGAACCAACCAACTTGATACCACATAATACAGTTGAACCAGACATAAAGAAGCAGGAATAGGGATAACGGAGCGGTAACTCATGAAACGACCGATCGGGTCGTTACATAATGCAACTAGATGAGGATCTTGAGCCAAAATCTGTCTATGAATGTAGACAGAGAAATGATTGGCCAAAATGAAAAAACGCAATTCAAGCAGAATTGGCTTCACTCAAAAAATGTGAAGTTTTCGAAACAATAGTCCGAACACCTGAAGGTGTTGTTAGTGGGGTACAAATGGGTTTTTGTGTGAAAACAAAATGAAAAAGGTGAAGTCGTAAGATATAAAGCACTACTTGTGGCACAAGGGTTTTCGCAAAGGCTTGACATTGATTATATGGAGATATATTCTCCTGTGGTAGATACAATTACCTTCACGTATTTAATAAATCTGGCAGTCCATGAATAGCTTGATATGCGGTTGATGGATGTTGTCACAACCTACTTATATGGCTCATTGGAAAAATGAAATTTTTATGAAAATCCCTAAAGGATTTAAAGTTCCTGAAGCACATAAAAGTTCAAGAGAAACTTGTTCAATAAAGCTTCAAAAATCCTTATACGGATTGAAGCAATCAGGGAGGATGTGGTACAATCGTCTTAGCGAGTATTTGCTAAAGGAAGGGTACAAAAATGACCCTATTTGCCCTTGTGTCTTTATTAAGAGGTCTGGATGAATTTGTCATCATAGCTGTGTATGTTGATGACTTGAATATCATTGGCACTTCTAAAGAGCTTCCAAAGGCTGTAGAGTGTTTGAAGAAAGAATTTGAAATGAAATATCTTGGTAAGAAAAAAATTTTGTCTTAGTCTACAAATTGAGCATGTACCAAATGGAATTTTCGTCCATCAATCAACATATACTGAAAAGGTTTTGAAGCGATTTTACATGGATAATGCACATCCATTGAGTAACCCAATGGTTGTGAGATCGCTTGATATAAATAAAGATCCATTTCGGCCTCAAGAAAATGATGAAGAGCTCGTTGGTGATGAAACTTCATATCTTAGTGCAATTGGGGCACTGATGTATCTTGCCAACAATACCCGACTAGATATTGCTTTTGTAGTAAGCTTATTAGCAAGATTCAACTCCTCCCCAATAAGAAGACATTGGAATGGTGTTAAACATATATTTAGATATCTTCGGAGAACTATAGATATGGAATTGTTTTATTCTAATGAATTCAAGTCAGAAATGATTGGCTATGCCGATGCAGGTTATTTGTCTGATCCTCATAAAGCCCGATCTCAAACAGGATATTTGTTTACATATGGAGGTACAGCTATATCATGGCGTTTAGCGAAACAAACAATAGCTGCCACATCTTCAAATCATGCTGAGATAATAGCCATTCATGAAGTTAGTCGGGAATGTGTTTTGTTGAGATCAATGACTCAACATATTCAGGAAATCTGTGGTTTACTTATGAAAAAGGATAATCCAACTACACTATATGAAGACAATGTTGCTTGTACTGCTCAACTAAAAGGAGGATACATCAAAGGAGGCAGAACAAAATTCATTTCACCAAAGTTTTTTATAAAATGGTGAAATTAATGTTCAATTGATTCGTTCATGTAAAAATTTGGCTGATATGTTCACTAAGGCATTACCAACCTCAACATTTGAGAAGTTGAGACAGAAGATGAGAATGCGGCGTCTTCGAGAAATAAAGTGATGTTTTCATGAGGGGGAGTAAGATACGCGTTGTACTCTTTTTTTCTTAGCCTAGGTTTTGTCCCACTGGATTTTTCTAGTAAGGTTTTTAACAAGGCAGTAAATAAAGCATATACAGATATGTGTACTTTTTTTCCTTCACTATGATTTTTTCCCACAGGATTTTTTTCTTAGTAAGGTTTTAACGAGGTATATTATCTATTTTTGGACATCCAATGGGGAGTGTTGTAAAACGTATAGCTAATATGGACGTCCACTACCCCCCCCCCCCCCCAATTTTCACCCATGATGTAAATAACCTCCCACTACTCATCACTATTATGATTGTAACTCCCACACCTCCATAACCTCTCCCCATGATCTTCCCCCATGACCTCAATTGTTAATGTCATGTTAAGACAATCATGTTGTAACCTTCATATGTAATAGTATAAATAGAGGCATGAAATGTGAGATGGAAACACTTGAACATTTGATGAAATAAGAAAGTTATCTCTTCTTCTCTTATTCTACTTATTTTCTTGTTTTACATTGTTACTTTGGGCTGCGTTTTCTTAACAATGATGAATTTTAACCATATTTACCAATTTAGTTTATGATGAATTCTAACCATATTTATAGCCTGTTTGGCCAAGCTGTAAAAATCAGCTTATTTTGAGAAGTGTTTTTTTTCAAAAGTGCTTTTCTCAAAAGTACTTTTGGTGAGAAGTAGTTTATGTTTGGTTAATTAGTTTGAAAAGCACTTCTGAGCAGCAATTAGTGTTTGGCCAAGCTTTAAAAAACTGCTTCTAAGTGTATTTTTCTCAAAAGTGCTTCTCAAAAAAGTGCTTTTGGAGAGAAGCTACTTTTTTCTGCTTCTCCAAAACTGCTTCTGCTTCTCCTCAAAAGCACTTTTTTTCCTTCCAAAAACTTGGCCAAACACCTCAATTTTTGGCCAAAAGTGCTTTTGGCAAAAAAAAAAAGCACTTTTGACCAAAAAGAAGTTTGGCCAAACAGGCTATTACTTGGACAAATAGAAAGGAGCAATTCCAAATTGAGACGACGCCGTAAGTCTTGTAAATACTTTAATTCCTGACTTTTTCGCAGTCTTCCCCTGTTTCCACAAATTTACGTCACTCTGCCATTCCAAAACGGCCCGCGAAGAAACCAAAAACAGAAACAACACACCGAAAACGAGACTGAAAAATGGAGTAAAAGTGCCTCTGCAACAATTGACCCGAACAACAAATTAACATTCATCAAAGGTTATAAACCATTTTCTCTTTTCACCAAATCCTATTCTTTTCCCAAAAAAAAAAAAAGAACTTTTTAAACCCTCCTGAAATCAAATTCCAGCATAGGGACAATTTGGATCTTCAGTTTCTCACATTCTTTGATCAGATCGCCATTGTAATGTAAACAACAAACATAATTACGTAAAGGGTCTCTTAATAACCAAAACTCTTTGAATAATTCGATGTCTTGGGGATTGGGTTGGAAGCGGTCATCAGATGTATTTCATCTCACATTAAGCTATGGTGAAGACGAGGCATTAGATGAGTCCACACCCACGTCATCAAGATCGTCATCATCGGCATCGACGTTCTTGGGATCATCCCCGTCGGCGGGGGCGGCGGAGGGTCAAGAAGAGAATAATATTAATAACCAAGAAGAGGAGTTATTAGGGTTTAGGGTGGAATTAGATTGGAATGTGGGGGATGATGAGGATCAAGTGGCTTTAAAATTGCAGTCACAGGTTATGGTGGCATTGCCTTTACCGCAAGACACTGTGGAAATTGAATTCAAGGAGAAAACTGAAAATGAAAATGGAAATGGTGATGTGGAGGAGGATATAACAGGTGAGGTGGCTGTGGAAATGAGGGTCGTGAAAAGGAGAGAGCCATTGAAAGGTGTGATGATGTGGCGGGTGGGTAGTTCGAGCCAGCAGAGTGATGGGATGGGGGTGTTGTCGAGGTTGATGAGGTCGAATTTCGCCAATGGGGTCGGGTTAGGAGGAAATGGGGAAGGCGTGCCCGTGGGTTGTGCTGATCATTGGAAGAGTGTTACTGTTGTTAGTCTATGTGGTCTTGGACTAATGGTGAGTGGTTCTTCGTTTTAACATTAGTTCGTCTTTTTTAGTGTTTATGAATTTGCGTTTATGTTCTGATAGTGTTATTCAATATATAGGGAACTTTTAACTTCAAAAAAGCTTTACTTATAAGTACTGGAATCCTTTTCTTTTATTTTTCTGATTCTGAGGGAATGGTAGGATCGCAGAAACTGATACTACTGATAGTGTTCATGATTGAAGCCAATGCAACTATTGTTTTTAATTTCTAGAATGGTTCTAATGATAAGCAGTTTGCCATCAATTGGGTCACCCATCTTTTTATATGTTCCAGGTGCTGCCAATAGAGATAACCCAGCTGCCTCTTCTCGAAAGGCTATATCTTGATAACAATAAGCTATCAAATTTGCCACCTGAGCTTGGTGAACTGAAATGTTTGAAAGTTCTTGCCGTGGACTACAACATGTTAGTCTCTGTCCCTGGTAAGCTTGAAAGTTTCACAGAAAAAACTAACAGAGTATGATGTAGATGGTTGTGAACAGTAGATTTGTTTGATTACATCTTACTCTGTTCATAAGGAGTTAGAATACAAGAACAGATGATTCATTCCTTACTTATTTCATTCTTTGACGTGGTTGGGTATGATGAACAGTTGAACTAAGAGAGTGCACTGGGCTAGTTGAATTATCGCTAGAACATAACAAGCTGGTCCGACCTCTTCTCGATTTCAGGTCTCTCTATTTACACTTATGATTGGCGAATTCTCCGATTCTACTTGATTTCTTAGTCAAATATTGTGTCATTCTGTGCTTGAGGTCTAATATTTGAATAACTTAATTACAGGGCAATGACAAAGTTACGTGTTTTGAGGCTTTTTGGTAATCCTCTTGAATTTCTTCCTGATATTTTGCCACTCCAGAAGGTTCGCCACTTATCTCTTGCAAACATAAGGGTTGTGGCAGATGATCAGTTACGATCAGTGAATGTGCAGATGGAGGTAATCATCACACTCTTTTTGAACTTTGAGTTGTTTCTCTTATCTGGTTGCCTTATGAAGTTGAAGAACTCTCCCTTTTTTGTTTCTTTTTGGCTGAACTGCAGACGGAGAATAATTCTTACTTTATTGCATCTCGGCATAAATTGAGTGCCTTCTTCTCTCTTATATTCCGTTTCTCTTCCTGTCATCATCCCCTGCTAGCTTCCGCCCTGGCAAAAATAATGCAAGATGAGGGGAATCGTGTAGTTGTTGGGAAAGATGAGAACGCTGTAAGGCAACTCATAAGTATGATCAGTAGCGACAATCAGCATGTGGTATGGTACCTTATACTCTGTAGGACGCTTTACCTAATATCCTAAGCAGTTAATGCATAAAATTTTGTTTTTGCTCAGGTAGAACAAGCTTGCTCCGCACTTTCTTCTCTTGCCACAGATGTGCCTGTGGCGATGCAGTTAATGAAATCAGATATTATGCAACCCATAGAAAGAGTACTAAAATCTGCTGGTCCTGAGGAAGTCATCTCTGTGTTGCAAGTTTTGGGCAAATTGGCGTTTGCATCAGATATTGTATCTCAAAAGCTGCTGACAAAGGACATATTGAGATCATTGAAACTTTTGTGTGCTCACAGAAATCCAGAGGCAAGCCTTTGCTTTTCTCTTTCCTGTGTGGCGATTTAGTTAAAAAAATTGTTTTCCTGTTTCTGTTGAGTGGTCTTTGAAATTGATTATTTTGTCCCCTTAGGTGCAAAGACTAGCTTTACTTGCAGTTGGTAACTTAGCATTCTGCTTGGAAAATCGTCGCATTCTAGTTACTTCAGAAAGTTTAAGGGAACTGCTATTGCGGTTGACAGTTGCATCAGAGCCACAAGTCAGTAAGGCTGCGGCTCGCGCTTTGGCAATTCTAGGTTGGTTTCTGTATATTTGTTATGGTTCAGCTATTCTTCAACCTGGCCTTCTGAATACATACTCTATCTGATTGTAGGGGAGAATGAGATTCTACGGCGTGCTATAAGAGGGAGACAGGTCCCAAAGCAAGGGTTGCGCATACTTTCAATGGATGGTGGTGGCATGAAAGGGCTGGCAACTGTGAGAATCCTTAAGGAGATTGAGAAAGGTACTGGGAAGCACATACATGAACTATTTGACCTCATTTGTGGCACGTCAACTGGTGGTATGCTTGCTGTTGCTCTTGGGATCAAACTGATGTCTTTGGAAAAATGTGAAGAAATATACAAAAAACTTGGTGAGTTTCTGCTCTAAAAGAAGCTCAACTTCGCTGTGTCCTTTTCAGTGTTCTCAAACTTGCTGTAGATTGCTTGACATAGTAGCAGCACTGATGCATGTTCTATCTTATTCCCTGCCTCTCGAAATTCTTTTACAGGCAAACTTGTGTTTGCCGAACCTGTTCCCAAGGACAATGAAGCAGCAACATGGAGAGAAAAGTTGGATCAACTCTACAAGAGCTCATCTCAGAGTTTCAGGGTTGTTGTACATGGATCTAAAGTATGTGATGCCATAAGTTATTTTTTTTAGTTAATTTACAACTACTCTTGCTATGCAGCTTATGTCTTGCGTATTTTGATAATAGGGTTCTCCAAAATATTAGAGAACTTTTACATAAAGTAATTATTTATTAACTTTAAGAATTCATATAGTTTAAGAAAGTCAAAGAGTTTTTCTATGCAGTAATATTTCCTGTATCTTGTACACTTGTGAATCTTTTAGAACTGATCTAGTCGTTTCGTCCACTGGCATAAATATGATAAGTAAGTTTAGCTAACTTTTTATCCATTTCCAATCATGCTATGCTGGTGAAAAGAAAAAGAGGGAGTTAAGGGCTTTTGCTTATACTGATTTTACGAACTATTCAAAATGAACAGGCCTAATACACAAAATGGCACCTCAACTTGCAATGCCGGCCTTGCCAAATAAACACTTCTAGTTGGTTAAAACACATGTTTTTGTTCTTTGATAACCGTGGTTCGGGTCAGCTTGCGCTCACCTCGGCTAACTCCAAGGGGTACATGCTACCTTCCACCAGCACAAGTACCGGGTAACTGGGTAACTGTGTCCACCAAGGCTTTGGCAGATGGGAAGAAATCACCTATTGGTTTTGTTTCTGCTAGGATTTGAACCCGGGACCTCTTGGTGCTTCGCCCACTTCATTGACCTCTACACCACAACCTTGGATGCTGATTGGAACACATGTTTTAAGCACCTCTACTTGGTTTATCAAAATGCGTGTTCGTCAAATGCACAAAGGTGGCTAACACAAATGCCCAACTTTATGACACGTAACTGGCACATCAAGTGTGCAAACTTGCTAAGACTATCCCACTTAACAACACATACCCTTCTGTTAATCAGAAGAGTGGAAGAATTCATTTGGATTCCACTCTAAAAAATCCAAACGGAACCAATCTGCTCAATTACCTAATCGCTTTAGTTCGAGAGCGCTGACTACCCAATCTCCAGCTTCAATTGCCGGAATAATACGGTCTCTTCCTCTCTACCCCGTATGTCTCCCTCCCTCTTTCATCTCCACCACTAACTTTTTTTCTTTGAGAATGATCTCCACCACTAATTCCAACACCAAAACCACCACTTCTTCCACCACTAACATCGTCATTTCAGAACTTGAAAGGCTGAAGGTCCTTGGACATGGAAATGGTGGACCTGTGTACAAAAACTGCCACAAGCGCAGTTCAGCAATCTGTGCGCTCATAGTTGTCCATAGAGAAAGTGACCGCAGCTCACCGGAAAGCCTTCGAAAATCACGCACAACCTTCAATAACGAAAGGGATAAGGGTCAAGCGCCAGTGAAATTGCCGCTCCACTGGGAGGACAGAGAAGAGGATGGGTTAAGGGGAAAAGGGATGGAGTTTCCAATCTTGTGCCAATTATGAGCTTTGCTTCTCTGATCTAGTTGCCGATCTTAGTATGGTTGGAGCTTTGGGGGAGTGGCCAGGGTGGGGGAAAGGTGCGTCCTTCTTAAAGAATCTTGAAAAGCTGAGAAAAATATCACTGTTGGTGGAAGCAAAATCAGAAATTGGAGATCAACAATATGGAAGAGATAAGAGATGGGAGAAGACATGAGTAAGTAGGAGCATTTTCGTATATTCACACTTCTTATATGCGTAATTCACATGCTCTCAAGCCACATAAGCTAAATCAATGTCATGTAAGTATGGTCAAGGGTTAGAAGCGTTTCTTATGTGAAGTTTAAACAAGTAGAGGTGTTAAATTGGAATAAGTCTAAGTTAGAGGGTTCGCTATGTAAAGCAGTTGAAGTTGAGGTTCCATTTTGTGTATTAATCCAAAAATATATATGATTTTACAAAGATGAAACCTCAAATTCCATACTCTTGGAATAAGGAAAAGCCCTCTTTATGCACTATATTTGAGCAACTGTGCATTGCCAGCATTGGCATTAATTGGTTATAGCCGAAAAACCGACTGAACCAAATTTTCTTAGTTTGGGCTTTTGGCTGGTTTTTGATTTGGTGCTTGAAAATCAGTTGATTGGTTCAGTTTTCTGTGTTCGAAATTCAATGTTTCGGGTACCGGAAAAACCAAATTGAGCAGAAATAGTAATATAGGGTTTTCTTGGATACTGATGCAGCTATGCTTTAACTTGTAATTTTTTGGGTACCTTCTTGGTACTCCTTTAATGAAACCTTTACCTTATCAACAACAACATGTGGGGTCTGGGGAGGGTAGTCTGTACGCAGACCTTACCCCTACCTAATGCAGGTAGAGAGGCTGTTTCCAAACCTTTACCTTATCAAAAAAAAAAGTAATATAGGGTTTTCTTGGATATGTAGTTAAATTTGCTATAATAAGGCTGCCCCAAGCCATATTTGTTTATCTCTTGGGAAAAAATTCAGAGGCCCAAGGTTCATTTCTCATCAACTTTGTTCTGATGCACGGACATATCTCTAATCTAACATTCTTACATTCTGATACTTCCTCAAAATTTAAGGTGCTAAAGACAGCTCGAGTATTCAATAGTAAAAGCTACGCTGAAACTGCACCATAGTCGTGGAGTAGTGTCTGAACATCAGTGGAATAGTAGCCAGAACATTGGCCAAAGTAGTCTGTATCGTGATGTAACAGTGTCGGAACTATTACCTAAAAGAGGCACGGTGACGGTCACTGAAAGAATTGTTCTGGTAAGATCAGGGAAAATAGATGGTGTTGCTGGAATGGTCCCGGAAAATGTGTGGTGCCACTGGAGAAGTCTTTCAGAAAAGAGTTGGAATAGCGAAATTGGGAAGAGAATGGACAAATTTGTCGAGCAGCAAAAATAAGTTAACTCAGGTGAAACTCATTGGCATTGATACCATGTGAGAAATAAGAGGAGATTGGAGAATGCATGAGACAAGTGTCTTACGCCTAGGAGGTTTTGTAGATGGTTAATAAATAATAATAAACATATACTTTCATCTGATGTGGGACAATATATCTAGTTTAACAGTTCAACTGATGCAACTTTGTAGTTTTTACACATCTACCTTAGAATTTTTTTTTTCTCGTGCTTGAAATGCTGCTGAATAAGAGGGACCTTGCAACTTTGAAATCGTAATTGACCCTCTATGTTCTTCCAGCACAGTGCAGATCAGTTTGAGAGATTGTTAAAGGAGATGTGTGCTGACGAGGATGGGGATCTTCTGATAGAGTCAGCAGTTAAAAGGATTCCTAAAGTTTTTGTGGTTTCGACTCTGGTCAGTGCGACACCAGCTCAACCCTTTATTTTCCGCAACTATCAGGTTATTACTGAATCCTCATACGACTCAATACTTAGACCTGATCTCTATTATTCGGTTTGCCTGAGTAGTGTTTACTAGTTCTGCTTCTATTATTTCCTTTCTGTTAGTTTGTTATTGAACCCTTTTGTTGGGAAAGTGCAGTACCCTCCCGGGACACCAGAAATCCCCCTTGCGGTCACTGAGAATTTGGCTACTGCTGGCCAAGGAGCAGTAAGCGATCCAATTCAAGTTGAACATAAGCGAAATGCTTTCATGGGAAGCTGTAAGCATAGGATATGGCAAGCCATAAGAGCATCATCTGCTGCACCTTATTATCTTGATGATTACTCTGATGGTATATTCTTGCATGTGCTTAAAAATTTAACTCATGGCAAATCCTCACGAGCTGTTTTTCTCTGGATGCATGTCATTGTCATCTTTCCTGATGGTGCTGTTTGTTTAATTTCAGATGTATACCGCTGGCAAGATGGTGCAATTGTTGCCAACAATCCTACCATTTTTGCCATACGAGAAGCACAACTATTATGGCCAGATGCACGGATTGATTGCTTAGTCTCAATTGGTTGTGGTTCTGTTCCCATGAAGGTATACTGTTGCTTAGCGGACGATTGCTTATTATGATCCAAACCACCAATTGATTTGCTTTTTACTGGCTTAAAAAGGTTCTGACATGCTATTGAAACTTGTGTACTCATGGACTGCATATGCTTGCTTGTGCTTTCCATATATTTAAATTGGGGAATCTGGAAATGCACCTTTGAGGGAGTTCTTAGCTAAAATCATGATTATGTGATACTCATTAAATTTTAGCGTAATTGGGCAATTTGAGACAGTTCTTAACTAAAATCTTGATTATGTGATATTCACAATATTTTATTGTAGTTGGTAACTTTAATCAGCTGCAGATTCTTTTATTCTTCTTCTTAATATGTCATGATGTCAGCAAGTACTTTTACTAACTGATAATTTCTTTATCTTATGGTGTTCCCTGTATCATAGCATATTTCTATAATATTCATATCTTCTGCTGCTAATATTGGAGTTGAATTCACAGTTGGTTACTTTTATGAGAAATAGTAAAATCATTGAAAAATGTGCATAAAATCTTATCGCCAAGGTTTGAAGTTTACTCTCCATTGCTACTGGAAGTTTTGATAAAATCAAGATAAAATTTACTTCAAGCGATTTTACTTGGGTGTTCAATTTATAGGGGTTTCTGCTATTTTCCCTGCTATGTTAGGTCCGCAAAGGTGGCTGGCGTTACCTTGATACTGGCCAAGTGTTGATAGAGAGTGCATGCTCAGTTGACCGGGTGGAGGAAGCTTTAAGTACATTGCTTCAACTGCTTCCTGATGTGCACTATTTTCGGTTCAATCCAGGTGAAGTTACTTTACATGTTGCCTGAGGTGAATATTAAAAGCAAAAGATTGCTTTCTTTCCTTTTCTGACACCTTCTTTTCCTAATTCTGTTGTACCTGAATTTTGGCATTTCATTAACAGTTCAAGTTTTAGGAATCACCCAGAACAAAAGAAAATGGTTATTAGTATGATCTAGTCTTGTGCCATGGTGATATTAATTTTTGGTTTCTTTTCACATTCTTAACATGCCTTCTATATATCTGGGATGCAGTTGATGACCGATGTGGTATGGAGCTAGATGAGACGGACCCTGCTGTCTGGTTAAAGTTAGAGGCCGCAACAGATGAGTACATTCAAAACACCTCTGTTGCTTTTAAGAATATTTGTCAAAGATTGTTAGAGAGGCCACATGATGAGAAATTTTCAGATAATTTCAAGTCCCATCAGTTTCTCAAATCGAAGAATTCTAAAACTGGTATGTTCTGAATCATATTTGATTGCTTGCCATGATATTCTTTTGTCTAAGATGGATTGACCTTTGAAGGATTCTATTTTTTTTCCAGATGAGAGCAGTCCTTCTTTAGGTTGGAGGCGGAGCGTGCTACTTGTCGAGGCCTCAAATAGTGCAGATGCTGGAAGAGTCTTTCATCATGCTCGCTCACTTGAGTCATTTTGTGCTCATAATGGAATAAAACTCAGTCTTTTCAGTGGCATATCAGGCACTCAGAAAGCAACTCCAGGATCAACTTTTCCGACACCTTTTGCTTCACCATTGTTCACTGGGAGCTTCCCTTCAAGCCCTCTCTTATACAGTCCTGATATTGGGGCTCATAGGGTTGGTAGAATTGATTTAGTTCCACCACTAAGCTTGGATGGATTACAATCTGCGAAAACAACTGCCTCGCCGCCTGAGTCTCCTCGAAAGCGTCGACAGCTTTCATTGCCTGTGCATTCTTTGTATGAGATGCTAAAGAATTCACCTCAGGTTGGAGTTGTGCACTTGGCTCTACAAAATGATACATCTGGCTCTGTACTGAGGTTAGATATTCCATATTTTATGGTTACTTACTGGAAATGTTGTTTGTCGTCCTAATGTCATCTACTTCTACGAGATAGTTGGCAGAATGATGTATTCGTGGTTGCCGAACCTGGAGAACTAGCCGATAAGTTTCTGCAGAGTGTCAAGTTTAGCTTGCTGTCAATGATGCGGGGCCGCCGGAGAAAGTATGCATCAGCTATCACGGATATCTCAACCGTTGCTGATCTTGTTAAATGTAGGCCATGCTTCCAAATAGGTGGTGTAGTCCACCGGTATATTGGGCGTCAGACGCAGGTATGCCTCAATGTTATGCCGGTCATCCTTTATTTGATAAATACTTTTGCTTTTGGAAACTAAGAATTTATGAATTTCCTATTTTGTCTTTGTCTTCTGAAGGTCATGGAAGATGACCAAGAAATTGGTGCCTATATGTTTCGTAGGACCGTTCCTTCAATGCATTTAACCTCAGAAGATATTCGGTGGATGGTATTGTCTCTGATCATTTATGTGATTCAGTGTTGCATATTTCTTTCATTGCAAGATTATGTATGTGAGAAGAAATTTATCTCTTCGCAATGGTGTTATATGGTTGCATCATTTGATTGAAGTAGTCACGACTCACCACCAATCAGGTGGGTTCTATATATGACAACTAAACTTACTTGCTTGGGTTCAAGTATCCGCGGCAAGGATAGCCCTTCAGCACTCAGAGCTCGCAGGGGACTTTTGCTTCGGCCCTGACATGGGAGCAGTGAGGTCTTCTGCAGATAAAGCTCTGTAGTGCTGGTGCTCCCTAGTAGAGACATGCATCATACTTCATCTGCACTTGAGTTTTTATTTTTTAATGACTGGTCTACTTCTGTCTCGGGTTTGAAGACAAAGAGGCCTGTTCATTGTACTTTTCTTGTGACCTATTACTCTATGCATACACATTCATCCAAGAAAATAAAAGATGAATAAGAAAGGAGGCAACACTAACTCTTTTAATATTTGTTAAACCTTCCAGATTGGAGCATGGAGGGAGAGAATTATAATCTTCACTGGTTTCTATGGCCCTAGCCAACCTCTAATCAAGGCTTTTCTAGATTCAGGAGCTAAAGCTGTTATATGTCCTTCCACTGAGCCTGATGAAGCGCAGTTGTCTACATTTCACGGGTCAGGTGATTTTAATTCTTTTGATAATGGGAAGTTTGAAATTGGCGAAGAAGAAGGAGAGGATGATGATACTGAACCTTCTAGTCCAGCAAGTGACTGGGAAGATAGTGAACCAGAGAAAAGTGAAGGACGCTCTCAATTCATTTGGGATGATGATGAGGGGGAGTTGTCCCAGTTCATATGTCAGTTCTATGAGTCTCTTTTTCAGGGTGGTTCAAAGATAGATGATGCATTACAACATGCTCGTGCCTCACATCGAAGCCTAAGATATTCATGCCATCTTCCCAGCGTACCATAGTTCATTGGTCCTCTCTGGCTTGGATAGTCCCAAGGGAGGCGCGAGTCAGCTAATGCTTTTGCTGACTGCATGTTGTTGCTTGAGTAGCGGGCATTTGCATGGTCTCCTCATTATTCCATACTTTGTAGAGAAGAATTATACTTGTACAAGCAAATTAAAGGAAAAGGATAGAAAGAAGCAAGCGTGGCGAGAGAAAAAATCAGTAGAAATGAGTAATAATTATTTAAAGAAGCGAGAGAAAAATCCAATTTTGAGGCTCTGAACTAATTGTTATGTTCTTAGTCATTGATGGATATCTTTGTTTTTCTTGTATGGCCCAGTTTTGTAGATTCTTCCTTATAAAATTACTTTCAGATTTAAAAACCAATAAGTAACATGTACAGTGAAATGAATTTATAAACAGCGAATTTTTATTACCACCCTAGTGGAGGTTATCTATTTATTTTCTTTTTCTTGTGAAAAACAGATTCATTTCTTTGTTGTTTCTGCCTGGACATTGACAAGTTGAAATGTTCCACCAAAACCACCTAGTGTTCTCAAGTGCTGCGGGCAATTGCAATTAGTATACGAGGAATCCATGCACCTAAGCTCTTATAAAAGTAGAGAGCATAAGAAGGTTGTTCAGCATTTTATAACAGTAACTCCGTTCAACGCTGCTAGTAGCCCCGGGTAGAGAACTGTGCGTAAGGTTGACCTAGCCCTCTCTCAACGCTGCTAGTAGCCCCGGGTAGAGATTCCTTTCATAAGGTAAAGGTCTCTAGCTTAGTAAGCAGCATTGCAGTCTTAGGTAAACGTCTGCGTTTAAATTTACCGCGGCGGCGTAGGCTTGATAATCTTTTTGGACTATAGGGTAAGAAGTGAGTTTAACACCAACTAAATTTTATTAATGAGTCTGTTTCATTGTTTCTTGCTCCGATTTGGTAGAAACAGAGTAGTAAACTCATTTCAGCTGAGTCATAGTTTAGCCACCCTTGTTGATATTCCTGATTATGCCAAGACACTAGCGACTCGAATATCAAACTGCAACAATCTAGAGCAGCTCGACCAAATTTACGCCCACATAATCCGAAATCACTTCTTGGAGTTGTATCCTGCAGAATTTCACTGGAACAACATTATCAGATCATATACTAGGCTTCACTCCCCCAGCAAGGCACTACATGTGTACATCACTATGTCTAGAGCTGGTGTTCCTCCTGATACTTTCACCCTACCTATTGTTTTAAAGGCTATTGTTCTGAATTATGTTGTTATGGCACGGCAGCTCCATGGGGTTGCAGTAAAGCACGCTTTAGACACTAATATGTATTGTGAGAGTGGCTTCATTAGTCTGTACTCAAAGGGTGGTGACTTTGGGAATGCTCGTAAGGTGTTTGAACAAAATACTGAAAGAAAGTTGGGGTCTTGGAATGCTATTATAGCGGGGTTGTCACAAGGCGGGCGTGCTAAAGAAGCGATAGAAATGTTCTTGGAGTTGAGAGAGAGTGGGTTACAGCCTGATGATGTAACCATGGTTAGTGTGACATCCGCTTGTGGTGCTCTTGGAGACTTGGATTTGGCTTCTCAATTGCATAAATGCGTATTTCAAGCAAAAGCAATGGAGAAGTCTGATCTTTTGATGATGAATTCTCTTATTGATATGTATGGTAAATGTGGGGAGATGAATCTTGCTTATAGGGTGTTCTCAAGGATGAAAGAAAGAAATGTATCCTCGTGGACTTCTATGATTGTTGGTTATGCGATGCATGGGCATGTTAGAGATGCGCTTGAATGCTTCCGTTGCATGAGGGAGGCAGGTGTTAGGCCTAACCATGTGACATTTATCGGGGTATTGAGCGCTTGTGTACATGGTGGGATGGTGCAAGAAGGAAAGTATTATTTCAACATGATGAAGAATGAATATGGTATTGCGCCCATGTTGCAGCATTATGGGTGTATGGTGGATTTGCTTGGCAGGGCTGGGTTGCTCGAGGAGGCAAGAGGGACGATTGAAGGGATGCCGATGAAAGCAAATGTTGTGATTTGGGGGTGCCTAATGGGGGCTTGTGAGATGCATGGGCATGTGAAAATGGGAGAATGGGTGGCTAAGCACCTGCAACAGTTAGAACCATGGAACGACGGAGTGTATGTGGTATTGTCCAACATTTATGCCAGTAATGGCATGTGGGAAGAGGTAAGGGGTATGAGAGCAATTATGAAGGAGAGAAAACTTGCCAAGATTCCTGCTTATAGCTTGTCAACAAGTTCCGATTGAGAGTTGAAGGTGGACCTGCCAAAGATGAAAGATCAGAAACATTGCTCTCTCTTACAAGAGTGCACAAGATGGTTGCCATATGCTGCACCTCACAAAACTGGTTCTCATAGGAGCAATATATCACATATTTTTTGCAGTAATGCAGATTTTTTCTTAAAAAGTTACACTTTCAGATTTACAAAGGTTTTGTATCCCAATAAGAGACATGTAACTGAAATGAATTTAGTGGATTAAACAGGGGACCTTTTCTAACCACCCTTCTCCAACATGACACCAGAATCTGGTGTTCTCAAGTGCTCTATGCAATGGTCAATGAAATGGGTGAAAATTCTGTATCGGCTGAATAGTCGAAGTGCAAAATTGGTCTGGTACCACCTTTATCAAAAAAGAAAATAGGGACATTAGTCGGTCCAGCATTTTATTTTATTAGAATACTTGCTTGGTAATGATCTCTTTAGGTTAGGTAAGCATTGCAATCTTAGGTAAAGTCGCTTTAAGTTATTGTAGGAAAACTAGGTTTAGTGCCTATTGTTTTTTGTTTAAAATGCATATTTAGGCTGTATAAGTACATCAATCAAATAGTAATGGAAAGAGATAAGGTTATTTTAAATTTATTGGGGCGGCGTAGCCACGATAAAAAAAATTTGTCTATAGCAATACCCGGTAAGAAGTTAACACCAAATATTAATTGTGTGTATAATAGCAAGCAGATCACATTCGAATTATCCTATGATTATTTGCAAAGTAAGGGATTAAAAAAGCCCAGACATTGATTGCTGAGAACCACACAGGCATGATCTGCTGACATAGAGATGATTAAATTCATTTTTAGCATTAAATTAATAAGAAAAAAAAAAAGAAGAAGAAAGGGTCAAGGGTGTAAGTATTATATACCCCAAGTATTATTCCTGAATGGGGTTGATCATGATGACTAACTTGGATCAGCCATAAGTCAGAGAGACAAAAAGGTAAAATAATAGTAGTAATTATATTTAGGTGTATGCGTTGATTACAAGTTTGGTTGATGATTACATCTCCATCATCCACTGTTACAATTATGCAGAGCCTCACGCTGTCCACTTTCAACAAAAAAGCATTGTCTATAAACACTATCATTAGCACTATAGAATAGTTGCTCCTTAATGCAAGCAAATATCATCCCTACCACCATAACTATGACTTAAAAAATACTGCCAATTTATTCTTCACAAACAAGACTCTCAAAAAAATGTTATACAGAGCTACTAGCAGCATCACTAGTAGGTTCTCTGATAAAATGAGTGCAAGTGTGCCGGTTGAGGTAGGCACAAGAGGAACTGTAGGATCACTTTTGAAGAAGGAGATTGAGTATTTTAGAAGACTCGAGCCGGACTGTAGAGGAAGTTCTAATAACAAACCCCAGAAGAGTACAGTGGAAATAAATTCGGGTGGTAGCAGTTCTTGGCCTAGTTTCGGGTTCTTGACGATGAAATGGAGAAAGAAGAAGAGAAGAGGTAGTGGTGGTGGATTACCTGCAATGTGTTCTATGGTTGAAGTTTCTGAGAACTCTAGGATGTATGAAATCCCAGGGTTCAGTTATAGAAATCTTAAGGTTGATTCCAAGAGATTTGAGGAAGAAGTAACACTCTCATAGAAGCTTTGAACTTTTGTTACTTTTCTCATTGGATTTTGTAGAGAATGAATTCTGCCTTGTTCTTTAGCCAAAACTCTTGTGTTCTGATTGATTGCTAGGCCTAAAGAAAGATTGTGTTAATATATGTTAACATTTTTGTTTCTTGTCGAAAGTGAGCAAGAAATGCAACATAAAACATGTTTTGTGCAGACCAAAAGAGACTGGAAGAAATTTGAAGATATCCCTGGATCAAGATTCAAGAAGAGAAACTTGAACATAGTTGAGAATTCATATTTGATGATTGATATGAGGTGAACATTCTCATTTCTTAGCCTGCAGCGAACGAACTTTCTGGCTGTTCATGTAGATCTTCATCTTGTATTCATTCATGTTATAGATTTATCCTTTATGATTTTTATGCACATATACTACAAGATGCAATTGGAAACAACATAAACTCTTTGTATGGGTCAAAATCCGATCTCACGGTAATTAACGGAGCTAATCTCGTCTTGAGCTAATCCATAATTAATAAGTGGTATGGCCACTTATTCATAACAGGATTCGACTCTTGTCTGATTTAATCTACGAGGGCACGGCCCATTCATTCCCCATGGGGACGGAACCTCAGCATGGCCACGGCCATTTATTGCCAGCTCACGAAGTTCACATCTATAAATACTAAGAGTGGAAGCCCTAGAAAGGGGGCTGCTTCTTCACCACTATTCACAAAAGAGAGAGAGAAGAGAAAAATACACCCATCTTATGGGAAGAGAAAAGACCATTGTAAGGCTCTGAACCTCTTCATGGAGAGGCAGACCAAACAAATATTATCAATAAAAGTTGTTAAGATTTCTTCTCCTAACCTTGAGTACTTATTTTCATGTTCTTCGCTTGGTCCAGTGGATTATTACGATTTGCTATGATTTTCTCGTGATTTATTTATATTGTTTTATACTCATAAGATATGTGATAACTTTTGAGCAAACACTCTTGAAGCCACGGGTCTGTTCATTTTTATTACTCAAAAGTTACAAATGTCCAGAGTCTGCAATAACCTTAGGGCTGTTCCTCTGCTGTCTTGACTATATAAATACTGCTATTTGTTAAAAATCAGAGAGAAGATTCATCTTACACACAATTCTAGTTACAATCTCTTGCGGCTACAAGCAGAAAAAATTCCTCAAGTTAATCTTGGCTAATCATGGCTGCACTTATAGCTAAGTTACATAAAACTTTTCACCCGGAAAAGGAAATTTTATATCATCTTCATATACATTATTCAGATTATGACGAATTCTTGAAAGATAGAATTTGGATCTTCAAAACATTAGGCTTGATTCTTGAGCATCAAAAGCTAAAACACCCACTTAAGTAAGACTGTTCAGAATCTACTGAGCATAGCTGATTTCAACAGTTAAAATTCTATGTAGTTTCTTCAAACTTTTGTTCTTTTTATTAAAGTATTTATTTAACTATCTAAAACAAATAAACTCCATGTATTAATAGACACTTACAGGAAATACAATTTGTAATGCACGTATAAAAGACTATAGTATTATTATTATTTTCTGGTTAATTTACTGCTAAGCAGAGCGTTTGTTCAGCCGTCCCATATCGCTGAAGGGACTAAGGAACAGGGAAGCTACAGTATTTTAAAGGGCCAAACGGACCACGGTTCAAAGCATACCTTTCTCGGCCTTTTGGCTAAGATCAAGTGTAGTATCTGTTCTTATCAGTTTAATATCTGATATGTGGGTCATCGGTCCACATGATATTAACTCAATTTTTTAAGGGGAAGAGTCCATTAAAGTAGCTTGCTACTTGGGCTCTTGTGCGTCGCCCATGTGTTGCACTATTGCATGGGCCTGGCACACCCCTCCAAAAAAGTCTAAATTTGATCAAGATTCAAGAAGAGGAACTTGAACATAATTGAGAAATCATATCTGAAAGGATATTAATCCATTCAAAGTTATTACAAATTTTAACTATCAAAAACAAATAAACGCCATATTAATAGACACTTGGAGGAAATACAATTTGAAATGCACGTATAAAAAAGTATTATATTTTTTTTTCTGGTTAATTTAGTGCTAATTTCTGGCGTAGTACATTTTCCAGCAAATAGCAGAGCGTTTGTTCAGTAGTCCCATATCGCTAAACAGACTAAGGAACAGGGAAGCTACAACATTATAAAACGCCAAACGGGCCACAGTTCATAACATACCTTTCTCGGCCTTTTGGCTAAGATCAAGTGTAGTATCTGTTCTTATCAGTTATGTGAGTCATCGGCTCAAACGATATTAACTTAATTTTTTTAGAGGAAGAGTCCATTAAGGTAGCTTGCTACCTGGGCTCTTGAGCGTCGCCCATGTGTTGCACTATTGCACGGGCCTGGCGCACCCCACCAAAGTAGTCCAAATTTGATTCATTTCGCGGCCCAAAATGGCCCAATAGTACATTGACTATATTAATTTGCGGAAAATTACTTTCAGAGTATGTTAGTTATAGTTAAGTTCCTGAACGTTAAATCATTAGAGACTTTGACTGGTTGTAATACATAGTCTTCTCATATACATAGCTCTTCCCATATGTTTGATTGGATACGGAGTTTAAGAAAAAAATGAAGTTTGGAACGGAGGGAGTAATTTCTACTGTTGACAAATTTCTTTCAGAGTATGTTAGCATGTGCAAAGACATGGTCAGTACTAAGTAAAGACCATAAGTCACAAGACACTTTAATCCGTAACGAATTAGTGCTTGATCCATGTTTGTAATAGTTTATTATTTCATTGTGATTTTTCTTGTAATAATATACGTGTTAATTTTATTAGCTTGGATGAAGCTCAATTGTTGGTTAATCTTTCTTCCTACCTACCCTATGGTAATATATATGAGAATGACTTAATTAGCTATAAGCAAAATGTAATTATTGAGTATCATATAGGAGCTTTATTTTCATAAATCAAAGAGCAAAGACGATAACAATTTAGTCCGTTTGATTCTCTTTTCTCATCCGTAGCATGATAGCACAGAACCATAAGCTTGAAAGTTTACGGAGCAAACCGAAGAAAGTGATAGAAACTTTTTATTACTTGCTTTGGATTTTCCCAATAAAATAACAATTCACAGGCTTGGTTTTTGTGGACTTGGAATTTGTGTTTGGCTTTCGGTCTATGCCGGCTTACAACCATAAAATATCGTAACCATCATTTTTATTTATTCATTTATTTATGTGTTGCACGAAAAAATCTATCATATATTTAGAAATAGGGAGTTAGTTTTGAATCCCTATTTTTAAATCATAAATTGATTGTAGATTAAAGTTAGTTACTACTTAGTTTAGCAAATGTTTAAAATTTTACTAATCTACCTCCCCCTTCTTTCCAAATTCTTATTCAAGAAGATCAATCCATTCATTCTTTTATGACTAAACCAATTTAGAAATCACCTTTCAAGTAAATTTCGAAAAGGGCATTATTACCTCTAACAGAACAGCAGTAAGTATATAATAATAACTTCCATTTGATGTTTCTATCTATAAGTCTAGCCCTATGTTTGAATAAAAGGGATATAGATAGGTTGACCTTAGAAGAAAAGCAAGTCTTTCTTCCATATCATTACTTACGTAATCGTGTTAGATTGAACACAAATTTAATTAAGAAAAAATTGTGTGACACATAATATATGTATGTATATATGTATAATACAGTAATCCTAAAATCTTATGGTCTTCAA